TACTGCCATATATGTAAGATCTATTTGGAGTGTGTGCTACCGCTGGTCACTGATTGGATTCGTCAGGCTCGATTATATACGTCGTGCACAATTGGACAAATTTTTGGGTATTTGCCATGTTGTGGGGTGAGCTTGGCACTTGCGAGATATCAGTGATGCTGACTTGACTGGAACATGCTGCAAGTCATCATGATCGCTCGGTTACATGCTATGTACTATCAAAGATCCAGAAAGATCCAGAAATTTCTCATTGTCACCTTGGCTGTCGATATTTTCGACGGAGTGGTAGCTAGGCGTAATAGCAACGATGCATACTTCAGGGGTATTGTTCCTTTTTCCACTGATGGGTCGGACGTGGTAGCTTTGTTGCCTTTTCTTGCTTCATTTTCATTCTCGAGTTCTCTCCAATATTATTGACGGTGTGTCAGTCTTTCACTTACCTATGCATGCTACCACGGTCAATCGTCTCCGTAGTAACATTTCCTGGATGCCCAAATTATTTCTGGACTTGTTCTGATTTTGAACGACGTGCAGCTGTTTGTGCAGGGACCGTGCCTGCAGGCCTGATTCTTGGCGTCCGAGAATACCACGCCAAGCTCGTGCGGGCCGATGCCGACGTAGCAACTGGTATGACCTCAATCGCTTTCCAGGAGCACATGCATATATCAACTTGCAGTAGTGTGTGATGCTCGGCGTTTGTCTTGCGCAGAGAGATTTATTCCCACCTTCATGATGCTACTGATTAAGTTATGTCTTCTTATTTGGTGTTCCAAGCCACTTCAACTCACTAATGTTCTCTCGCATGTCTCCTGTCATACATATCTATTTATTTTTTGAATCCCACAGTCTCTTTCATACTGTGCAGCCACCTAGTATCTCTCGGATATCCCACCACTGGGATCTGTTTTTCACACCTTCATGGTGTCGTTTTGCTGCTTTCAAGATCCTCAGGAACGCATCATATATGTTTAATATTGTTGTATACATTGTCCTTGCATTGGCCAGTGACTCCGAGGCATTCACAGCCGGACCCCGGACAAATACGGGGAGTTGTGCTCAGTATTTGTTGTGCATCCTAATGTACTCGCTTTCAACTGACTATAGTGAGTTATGTATTCAATCGGTAACACTATGGGACAGCACCGCAGAAATTGCTATGCAAACTTACAATTCCTCTGAGCATTGGCCACTGATGCATTTTTTTCCTTTGACTCGCTGCATGGGGACAAACTGGTGCTGCACTCAGTGTTCTAACATATTTATTCACTTAAGTTCAATTGTTTGAGTTGTAGTATATTCAATCGAGTGATGGAGCCAGTTGACTGCTGGCAGCATATAATCTTCAACGACACCATTGTCCGTGACTGCGTGCATCGCATTGTCAAAACGTTTCATCGTCGTCGATTTGCATTGCATTATTACAGCGTGTCACGTATCGTATTGTCGTCAATGCACACGTTCAAGTTGTTCTCGTCAATTCGTTCATGCACGTGTGCAACACAATCTTACATCACTCCATCAATCGCTCGATTAAAATGGTGAAATATGTTGTTGATATTCTTAACATACCCTACAATATTTGAGGACATGCGATAATGTACAGATACTTGATTTCGACCGCTATTTCTCTGCGTATGAGTTCAAGGCGGTGTGGAACAGATGATCCTTGTTAGCAAGAACGAATAGCCGTTCGACCGCTGCTTTCGGCTCAGGATTGGCAACCATCTCCCAGTGAGCCTAGACATTCACGACAGCATCAGTACGTACAAAATCATGATAATATTAAAGTCTACCTCAACGCTCGACCAGCCGCCAACAAGAATAATGGCATTCTCATCCTCCAGCGTAGGACCAAATATGAGCTTCTTCTCGGTTAAGTCTGAGAGCTTATTGAGGATGTCGAACACCTCTGCACGATGGCTGGGATCTTTGAGCGTGATGAGGAGGACCTCCGTGACAGGCTGCTGGAATGTGGGATAATCGTTGAAAATGACATGATACATCTTGAATGGGCCCCCAATGGAGGGTTTCAGAGCTTCGAGAAGAGGACCGTACGAGGAGGAATTCATGAACGCTTGATGGAGCGCCAGGCTATCCCAGTCTAAAGCCAGGGCATAATGGGTTCCCTTTCAACGACTAGCAAAATGCATAACACGTACTGAGGAAGATATACCCTGTAGCTGGGTTCTCGATCTGTAGCCCGAAGTAGCCGGGCCTATCGTGATAACATCACGATTATGGTGTCCAATGCTATGAGTAATATCTACCAACAAGAGAACCATACGCACTTGTGGACACCATCAGCCTTTGAAACTATCTCGAATGCAGGACGTATAGATGAGACGTCCTCACGAAACTTGTCTGATGTCTCGAATATGACGATTTCAGTCGTTGGGATAGTAGACATGGTTGCGGGAGAATTTCTGAAAGAGCCCCTTACAATATCCCCTAAATATATAGTCGGACTCTGGAAGTGCCCCTGCTATCGGAAAAAACTATATCATAAAATAGAGTTAATTCACTGCGGTGACAACAAGCTGATGTGTGGGAAGAGGCTGTAGCTAGAGGGCATACTAGCACTGCTTGAGACTAGCTTGGTATGTAGCTGAATGGTTGGTTGACATCGAAAGAAATAGCGTGATAAGTAGTGTTGCTAATGTCTGGATTGAAGTTTAGCTGGCCCAGGGAATCACGAAGCGGTTCGTGGATAGTGTTGTGGGCAGAACTATTTTGAAGCAGCCCAGGCCTGCCAACTGACAAAATTTCTCGGCAGAACCATATTCTGTCGGGTGGTAGAATTTGCTACTTTGATGTGAGACTGCTAGATAGCGAGAGCACCACCAGCACTCACTCTGCACTGCAAGGCTCCTCGGTATCCGGCTTCAAGTTGGCAGCCTTGGCTGGTAACAACCAGAAAGAGGTCGAATTTAAAAGCCTGTCTGCGGCGGCAGAACAGGTCGCTGTCGTATCTAATTAGGTCAGGTACGTGGGAACTACATTATTATTTATCCTGTGATTACCAAGGCTGTGGCTTCGACCTCAACACGCGGTGGCTTCGCGCTCTCCCTTCTAATACCTCCGTTTCACATCCCAGTCAAGGAAAATTCTCCATGCATCGTTATTTTCCCATTACAAATGTCTTCTAGTCGACCGAACTCAGCTTTAAGTTCAGTCTCGAGCCACTTGGCAGTCACGGTAGTAAAGCCAGCTTTATAAACCTACTTTCGACAAGGGAATTGAGAGGACGGCCTCCAGACTTGAACATCATAAAGAACCTGTAGTTCTGCCGCATTCTACACAGGAGATTCTGCTCTGTCATGTGGAAGAATGGCAGAGTTCTACCCGCCACCCTCTTCGTGGATCCGTCCGATCCGACAGACGATGATCCAAGCCAGTAATTACATTAATGAGCACACATGTTATCAATATCGGTGCGTTTACTAATTCGCAGGCTCAATACACAAGTATTTATGAGATACTGAGCAATATTAATGTCATACGAACAACGGACTCGTGACCAGCACGTCTATTGACAGTCTACCTCAAGGCTGCTATTTAGAATTTCAGATCCTATCCATCCGAACATGTGGTGGGAGGAACACCTACACCTCACAGGTAAGGACAGTCGGTGCTCTGCGGATACCATACAGATCTAACGGATTCAAAGTTTTCGAGCTTCATCGATGTATCTTCTGCTCAGCCGCAACTTCGCATATGCCGCCATTGACCAGCGATCATATAAATGACAAACAAATGATCGAACAAAGATGCATGTATACGAATCGTACAATACTACAACAAAAATCCTGGCACGTTATCGATACGTCGAGTCGCACGGGTGTACCAGGTTCACACGAGCGGACCTGTCCGATAAGTCAAAAGGCCTATTAGATTGTCTAATAAGTCTCTCCGGCCACTGCTGTCGCATAGTTGTGCTGGTTGTCTGGACCATGAACATGATGAACGTGATGCGATGTAGCAGAAACGCCAGGTGGACTTGGTGCGGAGTAATAGGCTGTGACTGCGATCATTCAGCGACTTTCCGAGTCAACGAGTTGCGACAGCAGGCGGCGGTCTGGGAATTTCGGGTCCTGGGCGCTTGGTAATGAAATGAATGCACAATGGCGTTCCCCATGTAAGTGCATGCATGATCTTTGTGGCCTTTATGCACTAGGCGCCCTCACCGGCGTTGATCTTGCTTGAATGAGCTACCATTAATAACCCCAATAGCGCTGCATGTGCTGCATATGTGCCGACACCTGTCACCATTTTGTTTTGATAGAGGGAACGACTGCCCTCCTTCTATTGGTCTGCCTACGACCAAGGATGACAGTCTCCTACATAGGTCTTCATTGGTGCACGGGGAGTATATCAGCTTCCCATCAATGTGTCCTATATGGTCTGAGGCGTTGATCGGTCATAGGACAAAAGTCACTCACAATAAACACCTATGAAGATTCGGCATTGTCCGACGTAAATTTGTCCTCAACCTTGACCTGAATTTTGCTGATGTTGTTTTTGATGCGAATGAAATTTCGAATGCAACTTAGTTCATAAAGCAGTCTAAGAGGCATCAGACTTAACAATCATATTGGTTATATATGTGAGCGAAGTTCAAAATACAAACACGATCGGGTTTTGCCGTTATCTGTGCATGCAAGATGAGATCCAGCATATGACCAGTCTGACCGACCTTGCACAAGCTGTGATTAAGTATAATCATGGGGCACGGAATTGATGCATGATGTCAGGACGGCGTTACGTAGGTTACTGACAATGCCAATTTGCACGCTTTCATTTGCTGAAGCACTAAAGCCGAGGTGACTTAGCGGACACATCGATCACATGTACAGATTAGACTCCTCGCGTTGCGCCAGCTCCTCAAAGTTTGATATGGATAATATCAATTTACTGCGTCACGCCCCCTTCTGATCTCTCTACACCCTATCTAAATTTATACTGAGTCTGGGCTTGGTCTGGGTGTGTTTTCCGGGTCGTTGTGATGTCTCACCATGACAAGTTTGTGATACCGAAACTTATAATATAGAATTACATGCTTTGAATTCGACTTAGGTATCCTTAAGAGACAAACACTACTTTCCCGTGAAAGAGGTGAAGCTGGTGTGGAATAGATGGTCCTTGTTGGCGAGAGTGTACAATCGTTCAAGCGCAGCTTTCGTCTCAGGTTTAGCGACCGCTTGCCAATGAGCCTAGAAGTCGACGGCATCAGTATGTCTAAAATTGCAACTAATCTCCACGCATACCTCAACGCTCCGCCAACCACCAACGAGAATAATCACATTCTTATCTTCCAGCGTAGGACCAAACACGACCATCTTCTTAGTCGAGTCCGAGAACTTGGTGAGGATATCAAACACCTCTGTGCGGTTACTGGGGTTCTTGATGGTGAGGAGGAGAACTTCCGTGACAGGCTGCTTGACTGCGACGGGTTGAGCATTAAAAATCACATGGTACATCTTCGACCAGCCCCCATATGCGGGTTTCAGAGCTTCGAGCAGGTTTGGGTACGAGGGGGACGCCAGCATCGTCTTATGGTGTGCTAGGCTATCCCAGTCTGAAGCAAGGGTGTTATTTCAAGAGTAAATGAAACATGTAACACATACTCATGAAGACATAGCCTTTAGCAGCATTCTCGATCTGGATTCCAACGTAGGCAGGCCTGTTGCAATAATAGTATGATTAAGGCGCCTGTATCACCGGGTGATGTATACCACCAGGAGAGCAATACGCACATCTGGATGCCATTAGCCTTTGAAACTAGCTCGAATGCAGGTTTCAAAATTGAGCGGTCCTTACGAACTGCTTCTGTAGTGTCAAAAATGACGAGTTCGCTAGTTGGGATAGACATAGATGCGAGTGAAGCTTTGGGGATAGATGGTCTTTACAACAGTCCTTGCGTATAAATACCTTGGTCAACGAATTTCAAACTTGCTTGTGACCTGTCTTATCCAGGGTGATATCATTGGAGAAGTCTCGTGATAGCCCATCACTGCGGACGGCTCTTGGACGCCACTTGAATATCTCGGTCCGTGTGAAGAATGACAAAGATATAATCAACAGGTGGGATCAGCGAAGACAGCATACAAGCAAGCGCTGCTAAGCAGACTACATCCATTGCACCCGCGGCAGTCAGCTGTCCCCGAGTATATGGTTCTGTCAGCTTGAGTAGGGGGATGCTAGGGAGACGGATTGGCAACAGTATCGATGCAGTAAAAGATCTTATCAGGGGCATACTGATGAGCCTAAACTCTTGTAACAGCTCGCCCTTCTGAATTGAGAACACCCCGTACCTTCGACTGTCCGATTCAGAGGGAATTAACTATCCGATCAGCTGCTATCCGTATTCATGGATGACGGATTGAGGGCTTGGTCGTGAAGTAGGGTCCTCACCCCCGGGCCAGCGGCCTTAGGTTATAAACAACTCAGACGAAGAATCAGATTGGTGTTGAGAAAGTTAGTTTAGGCGTACACGTGACTTACATAAATACCATCCGATTCTTTCATTCCGGCCAGAGAATTGCTCGACTGAAACCATATGCATTACATATGTGAATTACACAAGCCTTGGCACCAGTCTGAAAAGCCAAAACATTCATTGGTTCAATCACATTACGTGTGCAGAACCTCGAAACTTTCGCAATTGAATAGACGGTGATTCCATGTGCAGAGCTTCGAAACTTCTAGCATTGAATAGACGGTGATCCCGTGTGCGATCATCGGAATCCGTCACGGACGGAAGACCCACAAGAACGATGTCAGTAAGTACTAGAAGAGTGATGCTATCAATAAGGACGGTGACGAAGATAATGACTAACTGAGGCCCATAAGGGCAGCCGACAACCTGGGCTCTGATAATCAAATGCTGATCACCTCGCCGACCTCCGTAACGACCAAATCTTCGGTTATGGCGGCTTTGGCCAAGCGTTGATTGACGCCCGCATCGATATCTCCTGTTGCTTGCGCTTTTTGTACAGTTCTTGCATGATATCAGCATTCTCGAAGGAGAACGTTAAGAATATCATGTCATGGTTTATAAACTCGATATATGTATATGAAGTTAAGTCGTAAGAATCAAGACGACAGCTCGGTCCGGACCTTGCCGAAGAACTACGAGCAAGTAGTAGCAACCCCAAAAATGTTCATCCACTTTCAGATAGCTCATTGTCCCGGCAGGTTACCATGATATCATAGTGATATGTGATAGCTGCTTCCATAAGTGGCGACGCTGGCGTTGGAAAGACTGAGTAGTCAAGGCCAGATGTGTGAATGGTGGTTAAATACATCTTCACTAAAGCACCCAAGGCGGGTCTCAGGACTTTGGGCAGGATGTTGTGCGAATCATCGTCTGATGTGAGCCGGGCTCTCCCAATCGGAAGCCAAAGCTTTACGGACCCCCTTTTAAAACCAGCGAAACACGCAACACATACCGAGGAAACATGATATAGCCAGTCGTTTGGTTCTCGATCGGCACTCCAGAGTAGGCGGGCCTATCACGATCATAATATGTAGTATGATCCGGGCACCACGCGCTTCTCGTCATACATAGCGGCCAGAGAACGACACATCTGGATACCATCAGCCTTTGAAATTACTTCCAGTGCCGAACTGAGTGGTCGTTATGAGTAATTTGACTCAATATAAAGAAACATCGGCATGTCAATATACCCCACAAAATGACAAATATTCAAAAAAACCAAGAATGGATTCAGGTCATACATACTAGCTTACATCACTACTAAACATCCTGGAGTGCGCAAATTACTCGTCTGGGTATGTGTTTAAGGAGGAACACGTACATTCTGCTCTGAACATGTCATGATCATTGGTAATTTCAGAGTCTACTTTTGAGCTTCATCTTCTGCTGAGCTGCAGCTTGCCCGCGTTGTAGCATGGGTCGAATATAAGGCTACGTTGACTAAGTAAATGATACCAAATAACGAACAAGGACTTACAGCATAAGCGGGAGTAACTTCATCCTTGTTCATCGGCTCCATCTGCACTCGTTTCCAGAGTGCCTCGTAAACGCGGCCATCGGAGACTCCCAGTGCGCTATGGAACGTAGTCAGTACGTCAACCGTATAGATACAGTTTGCAAGTACCTGTCTAAGATCCGATCCGAGAAGCCGAAAGCATCTGTTAGACCAATGGCATTGGGCATGACTTCAAGACAAAGGGCTTTGACGGCTAAACGGAGATCCTGCGTAGGATCGCCAGCACCCGTATGACGAATCAACCCAACCGAAAGGAGGTCCACGAGCGCACTTTCAGCACTCGTTAGTAAGTACTGTTAAAGCGATGCAATCAGAACGTTTGCGGTGGCGAAGATAGCAACTAACCAGCCTATAAAGGCAGCCGACGACCCTCGCGTCCTCCGAAGGTAAATTGGTGAGATTGTTGATCATCTCACTGACCTGTGCTGCGACAAAAGCCTCTGTTATAGCTCTGGCCAAGCGCTGATTGACGTTCGCATCGACATCTCCACTCGCTGGCGTTTGTGTGAAGTTCTTTACCATAAGAGCAGCACGCCACTCTAAAAGAAGGACAACGCTGTGGACATCGTGCCAAGTTGATGAGGTGACTTGTGGAGGGGCCTCGCTGGTTGTGGACAAGAGACGCAGATAAGCCGATGGAAGGGGAAGCTTGGCAACAGCTGAGGTTGACGAAAGCACAGCTTTGCATAGCTTTGTGGCGGCACGCACTACTTGTCCGTCCAGGACAAAGTTGTCCCCTTCGAACCTGGATACCTCTTCAATGTCAATTAACGCTCAGAAGGTAAAACGCACGTTGCGGAGGGGAGGTATTCAATGTATAATCGCCCTAGCCCAGCAAATGCACTGTACCCATGTCCACCCATAGAACGCCGAGCGGTTTCAATATCAATAATTCCTTGTGTAGTAACAAAGACTTTTAAGCCACACAAGAGAGCATGCATCTCTGGAAGAAGGGAAGTGTCCCGACTTGCAAGCCGCTCTTGCATCTGAGTCAACGCTTTAATCTGGCCATCGCGGAGGTGAGCACTTGGACTAACGGATGAAGAAGTAGAACAAACCGTATACCTCCCGAGCTCAATGAACACAAATGCCCTAGAGAGGATGGGCAACAAGCGGTAGTATGTTGAAGGGTATGTCAAGACTTGGCGTTCGAGTCCCTTTGCATCTAGTTCACCTTGTCTTCGGACAGTCGTGTAACGAATAGCAACTGTTGCAGCTGCGAAAGGGTTACACTTGGGATTACGCTGGATGCTTAGAGCTCTACCTTTGGCTATGGTCCATCCGGCCGTTGGTATCATGCTGGAATGTTATATTGTTAGTGCTGTTGAGCAGAAGTGCAGAGAATTGACGGACGTTGCCCTGATATACATCATCTGGCACACCGCGTCAGTAATATCGATATCAGGGCGAATTGAAGAGAATTACTCCTCCGTAGCTGAGTTTTGCGTGAGGAGGTTGGATATAACTACCCTCTATCGTGACCTCAGCAAACTTCGAGAACATGTTTGTCCTGGGTATCCGTACGTGATCAAATCTCGCGAAGCCTTGGTCTTGTGCAGCCATGCCTGTAGAGAATACATCAAACAGGGCATTAAAATGGCTTCAGATTTCACCTACCTCCCGAGGCCTTTGGACCAATGTCACCAACAGCGATTCCTCGGAGAGGTTTGTGGTCCTCTGCAAAAGCAGTCAGTGCCGCTATAAACAAGGCAACACCCAGGCGAACCTAGTGAGCGCAGCTGCACGAAGAAAAGGTGAGGTCCCATATCCTTCCCATCCGGCAAGATCAATTTTGCTTGAACAATGCCATGAGTTGCAGACTTTCCCAGAGCACCGATCCACCATTTGGTGCTCGTAAGACTGGGAGAGTTTAATTCGAACTCTTGGGTTTCCGGGATATATGTCGAAGTAGTTTCTAGACGAGCTACATTTGTACCGTGACCGAGTTCTGTTTGCAAATAACACCTGAAGCTTCCTAGTGAGTATAGTTCAGGAGAAAATGAGTTGAAGTCAACACACCCTTGAATACCCTTCTCATGCACCAAGTCCCAATAGTTGTCCATCAATGCGGGAGATCCTTGACCGAGGAAAACGGGCTGGAATGCTACAAAAATATATGAGTGAGTGGTCTGCGTGAAGGATATATGTCTGCATACCAGCGTCATGTAGTGCGATTGATACTACTTCCGATAGAAGTGACGAGGCTGTTCTATATTCTTCTTGAGACCAGCCATGCATTCGTTGCAACTCAGTCAGCCTATTTGTGATGGCGGCAGCTCTGATATACTGATCTGTCCGGCCTAGAAAGTCCCTGAGAGAATAAGTCGTACGAAAGACCAGATGACCGGCGCCTACCTGTGCTGTTTGTCAAATAATGGTTCTTGCGCAATAATCTTTTCCAGGCGTTGACGCAGATCCCACGCTTTCTGTCCACCTGAGGGAAGTTAGGGTGTTACAAGAACTAGGATGTCTTGGAGTGTTCACCATATAGATAGTTTTTGACAGTCTGAACGTTGATTGAGGTTTGTGAACGTGCTGCGTTCATATCAACAGCTGTCTGTTGGTTGACATCGACTCTTGGTCTAGGCGCCATCTTCTTTGTGCTGGCAAGGTTAGAGGATGATTGACCAAGACGTTGTACAACAAAGCTATGAGAGCTCGTGATTTTCGAATTACCGGCGCAGTCACGGTACCGTCAACAACAGTTAGTACGGACTTCGGAACCGTGATAACTCGGCACGGATGTATTTTTCCTCTCGATCTAGCAACGACGTGGAGCTGTTCGACGTGGCTCACTCGTACACTTTCCAGCAGAATATTCTTTCCACTCCCCTGAAGTCATTACGCACCGTAATTCCATCAAGATATCGATATAAGTCATCAATGCCGTTCGTGTAGTGTAAACATCAAAGAATCTCTCGTTTGTCTTAACTCGTAAGCATGTTTCCCGCTTTCCTAGCGGCTCCCCGTCCCGACGCCAACCCAACACATTATCACCGACTTCAGGCGAACGTATGAGTGCATCGTCCCTAGGCTATTGCCGCATTAATGCCACAACGTACTGGTGCCCGGCGTAACGCGTCTGTTCGCACGGTCCTCAGTTAGCTTGCCTGTTTGTACCTGCGTGCTCTGTGATCTTGCCAATTATTAGCTACATCGACCATGTCGGCCCTTCCACTCGCTGCGAAATCCTTGGGTTTTTTCGCTCATGTTGCTACTATTGTTCGTGTCAACGATTCAAGAGTCTTGAATTGACCGTATCGCTGCACTGATTATCTGATTCCGTAGCGGGCTCTGCCGTGAGCGGCTAGAAGATGGTCGCTTATTTCGATATTTATGTAAATGCTGCAATAATGGTATAAGTTGCAGTCATAATTTTCGGGAGCACCTTGGTTTTCAACCTTCCAACTCCTTCCAACGGTGTGTGGAATCGCCATCTAGAGGAACTGGTACTCCCTCACACTTACTAAATGATCTACAATTAGCTGATTGTCATTTTTTTATATCACTTTAGACATTTCGTTGAAATGCGTCTTCTCCTCGTCCATTCATTACTCTTTTCCTTCGGCCTCGCTCAGGCAGCTGTCACTGCCTATGGCCCGCATGTCCAGTCACCATTTGGGACTACGACTGCTGCCTCCGCCTCATACACGGGGTCGGCTTCATACGACCGAACGATATTACAACCACCACCCCCACCTAGTCCACCTCCACCCACTCAGTTCGACGTAGACCTGCAGACCGGAGATGTCTCGGGAGTTTCAATTCAACAACAAGGCTCATTCTTTGGTTTCAGTATAGAATTTAGTGTTACGACACAAGTCCGTAAGTATTTTTGTTCACTCGCATTATGTATCCACTGAACATGTCTTGTAGTCGGGCTGAACAGGTAACTAAATTCAGTTACCAATAAGGACTGTAGCATTTACCCTGATTGCCAGTTCTTTCCTCCAAGTCCCGTTTCTCAACCTTATGGCCAACCTGCGACAACGCGGGGGCAGCGTTAGGGTCCGTGTCGGTGGTAATACTCAAGAGACCGCTACCCTAGTGGCCAGTACCCCGGACGGTGCAGCTCTCGAGAAGGACTACGCAGGCATAACCAACCCCGTAAGCGCTTTTTTTCTTTACTCAATTATCCTGAGACTGAACACCCCCAAGACGGCAACGCCGCCCCTTGTCTTCACAACTGAGATCATCAAAATGATGGCCGAGATATCTGCACTCACTAACGTCTATTGGTATATGGGTATGCGATACGTGATAATACTCTTATTGTCACTGACCTTCTTGCGCAGGTGTGCCGTTCAATGACACTCAGCATTGGCGTTTGCAGATAGCTGAAGTCGGAGAGGCGATGCTTGGAAATTATCTGATTGGTCTACAGGTCAGCAAACTCAATGTATAATACGACAGTCTCTGATTGCTTTTGCTTTAGGGTGGCAATGAACCTGATCTTTACTCGAGGCACGGTCATCGACCGGATGTAAGTTTTTTTTTGGCCTGACTCCGTATTCATTATTAACCTTTTTGCAGTCTTACAGCCCTCAGGATTACAAAGACGAATTCGGTCTTCTCATCGACGCGATGAACGCGGACTCTAATATCCCCAACAAAGATCTGCTCATTGGCCCTAACTTGGCTGGCGTGTGGAGCCCAACAGATATCTGGGAAACCGGGTTCGCCACAGACTTCAACCAAAACCTTGCTGCGCTGGGTGTTGAAAGGTGAATAACAGATTATTCGTCGTCGTCTTCTAGCTCACAATCGTGAAGGTACCCCACCGATAATTGTTACGCCCAGTTCGGTATCGGAACTCCACGCTCTGGCCAGGAGATGTTCCCGACCTTCCTGACACACCAAGCTGGAAAGACCATTGTTGCCGAGTTCCCCGGTGCTCCCGCCTATGCGCAATCCGTCGGAAAGCCCTTCATCATGTCTGAAACCAATACAGCATCTTGCGGAGGTTTTCCCGGGTTAAGCGACAGCTTCGGGGCCGCCCTGTGGGGAATTGACTATGCTCTCCAACTAGCATACAGCAATTTCTCGACTGTTCTTTTCCATGTTGGTGGACAGAGCGTATATTACAATGTACGTTCAACTCTAGTCCTGCCGCCATTCAACCTCTAACCATTGTCCTCTACAGCCCTTTACACGTTCGTGTTAATCGTCCTATCTGGATGGTGATTTTTTTTAACTTTATTCCCTAGCGCCTGTGAGAAACCAGTCGACATACCAACAGTGGACCATTGGTATGAGCTACCTTACATCATTTTTCCACTGAATGCCAATCAACTCCCATCGCAGGTCCGGTCTATTACTCGGCTTTGGTAGTCGCAGAAGCACTGGGTTCCTCCAATATCGCACAAGTCCTGGATCTGCAGGCAAATGATGGAAATGACTACACTCCAGGTTACGCGATTTACGAAAATGGCCGGCCAGTCCGTGTTGCACTGACTAATTTCGTCTCGGATCCGTCTGGAGATAGCGATTATACTGCGAGTATTTCAATCGGGGGGACGGTGCCTGCTCAAGTACAAGTCAAGTGAGTGGTTCCCTAATTGTCATGAATTTATTGTTTCCTAACGCTCACTCAGATACCTCCTGGCTCCCTCTGTCTCTGAACTATATAACTTTACGTGGGCTGGACAGGTGTGCACAACGTGAATCTTCCTTGATTACCTAGACTAACTGTTCCCCAGACCTTCGGCGGCCCATTCTCATCAGACGGACGACTTAATGGCACACTCGACATACAGACTATTCCCTGTGACCAGACTAATAACGTATGTCAGGTCAAAGTACCCGCTCCTGGCTTCGCTCTTGTATTCCTCACCAATAATGCGCTGTCTGAGTCCGACCAAACTTCCACGATGACCTTCCCAACCACCGCATATACGAATCTCCATGGTGGACCAACCATCACTATTGACCCCTCGGTTCTGGCTACCTCGAACGGTGAGAAAGGATTCGCCAACGCCCTAGCAGGCACGAGCAAAGGCCGCCAGATGAGCAACGCTCTTGGATTCGCGCAAGCGCTGCCTAGCTTGCTCGGTGTCATTGCTGGTGCTCTTATGATTGGGCGTCTGGCCCTCATGCGATGAACGTTTTTGAATGTTTTCATTCGGGGTTCAGTGGGTCAGGGTCTTTATTCGTTCATTTACCTGCACTTGCATCGGAACTGATTCACATGGGCATATATCCCGGAATTGATCATTGTCACTGCTGTGTATATGACATCCTTTCTTGTCGTATTTTTTGGGCTACTTGGATCTTTGACCTGCGTACATATACTCCTCATACTAATCCCACCTTTGGACCACTTGGATCTCGGGCCTGCATCTATCCCACACACTAATCATACTCACCATCTTTTTGTCCATCACTTGTGTACCATTGCATCTACTATCATGATTGATCAAGGCAATTTGGATCACGAAGTTCAATCAAGTCCCGAAAATTTGTCGCTCACTGGAGACTCGAGTCAGTTGAGGCCACTGCGGTCTTTGTGTAGTCGGAGGTACCATTTCCATGTTCATGTTTTCTGGCGAGCCATCATCGGGTTAAACGTGCGTTGATCGCCTTTCACGGGCCATCACCCTCGTCTTGCAATCAGCTCGTTTACGACCAAGTATACAAGTTGCAAACTGCAATGCATCATCAACCTTGAAAGCGGAGGAATCTTTCGTGTTACCCGGAGCGAGCTCCGGCGGCGCCAGAGTCAAAGTTTGCATGGCGATCGAACAGACTCTGACAGGAAGGTCCATTCTGATATATACTTCAATGCGTAAATAGTAACGTACGCTGTCTGGTCATGATATGGTGAAATGATAGACCGGCATCACCGGCGTGGCGGCCCTCGAACTGGGTGCGCAGCCAGTGCGAATTCATTTCGAATTTTCAGCTTCAGACTCTTCCTCTCATTGCTCAATTCCTCCTTCCTCTCCGCTTTCCTTTGGTTTGTCTGCTTCCCTCGTTCCTCCTGGCAAGTAACGAGCAAGCCAGACGAATGCTTAGTCGATTAGTGCTTGGCTAGCACTTCACCGGCATGACCCGAGTCTATCAAATGCGAGGCATCTCATGTTCCATATCTCTACTCCAAATCATAAAACATGTTAGGCACATAGTCCGTCGACTTACCGACACCGACATTGCAGCAGAGCGAGCAAGGTTCGCTGTCGAAAGGCAAATGCGAGGCAGCATATCGCGAAGCCGCAACAATAAAGGCACTGCATACAAGCTGTCAGCACCAATCAGGACGCGCTGCATGACACGAGTGATGTTTTCCCGGGTAACATCCGCGCCGGGTGATCACGATGGTGGCTTGGGCAACAGGGATCGTAAGTCCCGTACCTATGACTGGTATTGCGGCTTGCCCAGTGCCACCGTGCGAGGCACCTCTGACAAGTCACGTGACAGCGTTGAAACCCTACGTAGATGGCCAAATATAAAATTCAAAATTCACCTAACGTGCTACTTTGAACTTACCCAACAATGGTCAACGCACTATTCTTCCAACTACCGGCAACTAGGCCACACTTCCTGAAGTTCTCGCAGTCACCAACTTTCGTGTCCATCCACACTATGTAATCCGCAAGTGTTGTGTTCTGGGTTCGACACGAATATTGTCGCGCATATTTCCGTCGTTTTCCGGAGATATGGCTAGGACAATTTCAAGTTCTCACTGGGATTTAGGCCTTAGGGCCCAGCTCTATTACAGCACCACGTATGCGTTGACGACTAACTCCCGCGGACAGGAATGCCATTGAACTGTTTCGAGTCAATTCTGCCAATATCGTCATGTATTCGAAATATGACTCTATGCCTTCTTCTGTGGAGTATAAAAGCGTCAGCAATCATGTTGCCGACGACCTCTATACAAGTAAGATTGACTCACTATCAGATTACCCGCCTCTCTAGTGTTTTCATTGTTCTCCTCGGCCTGACGGCCCTTGTCAACGCTGGAGTGCCAGTAGTAAGCCTCGCCTCACCTTAAACCTTTGCCGTATTGTCATACGATGTCTGCAGGCTGCTCGCCAAGCTATTGACCTCGACAAGCGTAACATCATCGGGAGAGACGAGGACTACGAAGTCAAATACTCATGGCAGAAACGAATAGAGTGGGGTCTGCGAAATCATAAACGATTATGGCTGGTGCGAGGTGTTACAAATTTTCGCAGACCGAGTCAGTGATACGATCAGTCGAATTATTTCAAGGACGGTTGGCTTCGTTTACATGCAGGATGTCGACGAGGAATGTGCATGACATGAGGATAAGGTAGACTTAAGGCAGAGTGCGAATGCGGTTTTCCAATGGCAGCTGCACGCTGGCAGGCATGCAGGAGGCGCTGATCAGCGATATTGAGCGCATTGCAAGCACCTGGTACTGGCAGTGCTATCATAATGACAGTATGGCCTGACTTCCCGATGCTATGCGCAACACTGGGATATGACACGACTACAACGTTGTTACTCCGCGCTCCTCCATGGGCCTTCGCGACTATAGTGGCATTTGCTCTTCATTGTCCGTCAACCATTTTTTATCGGAAATCGGATCTCATGGGGATCAGGTACTCTGACAAGAAGCAGAGGCGTTACAAATACTTTGCTGCCTCCATTGGCAATGCACTCGGTACCCTCAGTTGCATTCATCACATCGATCTTTACGATGAACAAGGGGGGACCCGGCCGCCAAAGCTGCGCGCTATATTTCGTTGTAATTAAGCCCCTACTCATGAAGCGTTACTTGTTGCACTCATAGACACACAGGTTCCTGATGGCTCAGCTCGTCGCTGGATATCTGGTGCTCTGGGGGACCTGGGGTGGGTCAACAACACTTTCGCCAGAGAACCTGCGAAGCGAGCCGTTGCTATTGCTTTGATTAACACAATAGGGCAGATAGGCAATATTGTTGGACCGTGTGTAACATTGTCACCGATTTCTCGCTCTTGCTGATTATCCACAACTGCACTTCTCTAATAGGTATGCATGGCCGTCGAAATGGGGCCCAACATGTCGTTATTCCTATGCCGTCGGCATCGCAGCAATTGGGGTTTCCACAACCATGCTCGGTGGGATGCATCTTTATTTGAAGCATCTGAATGAGCAGATTGAGAGGAACGAGAATGCGAAGGGTATTAAAGAGCATCAGGGGGCGGGGCCAGTCGGTTTTAGATATTTGGTGTAGTTGAGGACAGATCGTTTCCGAACGTGCGTTTTTTGCTCTTTGTCTGCTGACGCGCGAGGGGGCCTAACTTAGACATTATTTTTGAAATGTGAAAGTGATTGGATCTAGTACTAGAAGCTGAAGAGCGGATATGGCCGTGCTCATGATGTGCGTTTCACTTCCCTGGCCTGGAGGGATCATTTGTCTGGGAACATAAAAGGGGCTGAACAGTTCCTATGAACAGGGTCGGTAACCACGCACCTCATCGGCTGCAGCCCGAGGGGTGAACAAAATCTCGCGATTACCCGACGATCAATAGCAAGTCGCCGTGACAAATGTGGCAGGGATGATATAGAACACGAAGTCGCGAAGAACGTCGATCGACTATGCATGTTGATCTCTCGTGGATCTTCTGAATACGCCATCCAATACACGGGAAGTTCTAGTATGCATATCCGTTTGGAGGAGCTTGCCACCAGTGGCGGCGTTCGACCTTGGGCAAATCCGCATCGACTCTAGCACACGCAATTCTACACGGAATCCTTATGTATGTTGCATTTAGGTCTCCCCCAACATAATACATAGTACCATGTTTTTTATATAAAAGAAAATCGAAGCAGATCTCATCCCATGGCCAACTTATTGGTGCTGGAGGCTAGTTTTGTGCATAGAAGGCTCACTCTAAAGGTCAGATCGCCACATAAAATTCGTCTAGGAAGAATGCACTTTTCTGCGCGGTAACTCTCCGCTGGACTCAACACGTCGAGTTTCGAAGAAAAAAATAGCAGATGTTGTACTTTCGATGTCAGGATATCGAACTGTCAAAGAATTATTTTTTTATGTTTGAGGGTTGTAGAGTAATAGACGTTGCCCCAAAGATGCGCGAACTCTGGTGGACATCTACTAGTATGGTCTGCATTTTGAAATTTCCGATTGAAAGGCTGCAATTTTTGCCTAGTAGTGGTGCCGTTTGAGCTTACTAAGCGAGACAAACGCGCCCTTCGATTCGCGCCTCTGATTGCGCGTCTTCGTTTTCCCTCTCGCGTTTGCTCGCTGTCATTTTTCTTACCCGCCCACCGCATCCCTTTTTGTGTCTTGGTAGGTTTTGGGCTGAGTCGTGCTTCTGCTTCTGAAAACCTTCCATTTTTTTCTACCTCACACACGTGGGTTTTAGGCTGTGTTTGCCCGCCTGGTCGCATATCTTCGCACTCAAGGTTTCGCGAAGCTTCATCTTTGCACTTGCGTTCAATGTATTCAATTTCATTGTTTCACTCATTGACGCGGCGGTTGTATTTTATCTGCGCATCATCAAAAAACACTGATGCAGACCACGGCCAAAACCCCAACCCCCCAACTGGCGAAAGACCTGTCCTTCGTGCTAGGATTGAGCATATCGTGTCAATCTTAGACCAAGCTTCCTGCTTAACACTCATTAGACGTGCAGTCCCCACGTCATGTCACTATAACTTACCATACCTCGTACCTCAGCATGTCCCATACACCATTTGTTCATCTGTACAACTCGTTTGTCACACTCATCTGTATGTGTCCGTTCAATCTACAAATGCATTCACACTCACTTCGCTACCATGCATTTGTATGATTTCATGCGCGCATAACGCACTAGTAAGCTGAGTGGATTCATGATGTGTGCCCATCTATTGGCGCATACTGAAACTAAGCCAATGGCAAAAGACGATCCCGTTGCGAGTCTACTAGCTAATATATCGTACTAGCGGTGTCATCCAAACCTTGATCTACACCAGACCCGGAAGTCATCATACATCTTCAATGCACGCAGAACGCATTCCACCCGGGCCGTCAGCGGGTTTTTGTAGACTCGTAACCAGTTTTTACTACATCTAGGGTTTCGCGGCATCCCTAAAAAACGAATTGAGATAGGTCGAAACAAGGGTGTTATTCGCTTAGGGTTCGTGCACACAATCGAAAACGTAGAGCGTAAGGATTCCATTGAGAACGAAGGCCGAACAACCTATGGCTGTTATGACTTGAACAAGGACATTTCCAGAGCAGAAGCAAGCGATAAAGAGAGCTGCACCAAAGAAAATCACATGCATCATCAACAGGAACACTTCTGCTAACTCACTTACACACAAACAAACAGCAAGCGGCGACTGCCAGACAAATCGAGGGGAATGCCAACCACAACAACAGGCAGATAATTTGACATCGTGACATGTCCTGCAGCAAGCGTCAGACCATGCAACACCCTAAATAAACAGAGCTCACTTTGAGGTGTTCCATGTCTTTATGAACAGTGCTAGTTTCATAGATGACCACGACCGCAGCTCCCGATATTACACTGAGCAATGCAGCACTAAATGAAATCATGGCGAAGACATAGGAGGCTGCAGTGTCAAAAACCATCAAGCTAGTTACAGGAGAGTTCGTCGTCAGGAGCAAAGCAGCAGTTGCGAGTACCAGCCCAGCCTAAATTCCAATTTTTTAATGTTAGTGATAACGACCAGATCGTATCAAACACACAGTGACGTTTGAGTTCTGGAAACGATTGACCATCACTGAGACATGCTCCTTCCATTCTTCGTTATTTGTGTCTCTCCAGTGTTCGAGGGACATCCGAGAGACTGCAATAACACACATGATTCTGAACGCTGAATTCAGAATGGGATGAGTGGGAAGCGGAAAGTTTTTCGGGACTTGAGAGGCTGAGCTACTATTAGAAGTATCATCAAACATCGTTTCATCGATGGTAGAGCTCATAAGGTGAGTGTTCAAGTTGTGAGGTTGAGATGTTATTGAATGGACGTACAGGATGACCCTTCAATTATACTTATACATGTTCGTGGTTCCAGACTCACTAGCAATGCTTGCAATAATGCATCGGGAAACCGATCTGCAGGATCAGTGGCCATGCTGAGTGCATGAACGCTGAGCGCTGAGCGCTGAGCTTCTACCAATGAGAACCTCGCTTGCCAGTGCTAGTGAGCGCTAAGTCTGCGATATCACCGCTTTCACCGCTTGGCAGCACTTTCCTCCCGTTCCCGCGGTCCCTATCGGGTTTTGCCGTTATTTGATGATCGCTGCAGATGCAGTCACTATAGTCATATATGACAGTCCTATCTGACCGGTACCGGTGACTTTGCAAGCAAGGTGGTAAGCGCTCGAGAAGACTGGCGTCCGTAGGTTCGAGCGCAACTCCTAAGGCCTAAAGATTAACCTATTTGATTCACGAATCAACCAGGCCCGTCTCCCTGTGGGAGTCATATGCGGCAACCTTCCATTCTCGCGATCTTTCTGAACACGAGTTTTGCACGCTGTGCATGTGATATAGTGTTCTGATCTAGTAGGTCGTTTTCTTCTGGTCTGTGTGAATGGTACATTGTGCATAAACGTTGTGATAATATATAGTCTTATAGGTGCCCTCTTCTGGATGCCAGCTTTCAAAGCAGCTCTAGTCATTCCCGCCATGACGACGTCTATTCCTGTAAACTCCTCCCCTCAAGTCCTTGAAAACGGCTATCAAGCTCCCAATAATCCTATCCTGAGGCTAGCGTTCAAAACCTTGTGTGTTATTGCGGTCTCTCGGGAGTCTCTCGATCATTGGAAAAATACAGGGAACAAAGAATGGAAGGACCATGTCTCAATAATGGTCAATCGATTTGAGAACACAAATATCACTGTATGTTTGATATGATCCGATTTTTATGGCTAGCGTTCAATAACTGGACTTCAGGCCGGACTCGTACTCGCAACTACTACTCTATTCCTGTCGTCTGTGCCTCCTATCAAACATTTGATGGCTTATAACTCCTCAATCTCGTACATCTTCGCCATGGTTTCATTTGGTGCCGCATTGCTCAGCGTGATATCCGGATCTGCTGTGCTTGTTATCTATGAAACTAGCACCGCTCACAAAGACATGGACACCCTCAAAGTGAGTCTGTTTGTCTGGATTGGCTCACAATCTGACACACGGCACAGCGCATGCCACGACACCAAGTCATCGCGCTGCTGCTATGGTTGGCATACCCCTCAGTCTGTCTGTCAATCTCTACTTGCTTTTTGTTTGTGTGTGAGTAAGGCACTAGATGTTATTTAGATCTGCTGACGAGTATGGCGTTTGCTTTGGTGCAGCTATCTTTATCGCCTGCTTCTGGTCTGACAATAGTGTTATCAACGTCATAACCGTCTTGGCTTGTTTGGCCTTCCTTTCAAACGCAGGCCTTACTCTCTACGTTTTCAGCGTTGTAGGCGAAAAGTAACCTGGTAGCACTCTTGTTGGATTCACCAGTCTAATTATACCTTACAGGCGGGTCGAAGATCAAAAAAACCTCACCGACACAAGTTTCTGACAGGCATCACGCTAGTATAGGTGCTGCATGTCTTCGGCTCTGACAGGGATGACTGGGCGTGATAATTGTTATAGACCACTCAGGGTTTGGATTCAGATGCTTCGGGTTGTACGTATCGGTCCGTGGAGTAGCAGCATCGCATTCTCGAAGAACTTGCCATGTCTCCTTAGCCTAGTATCTGAGTCCATCTAATGTATAGATATGCCACACCACCTCCTGATCGCCCATGCGAACTGTCCACACAGCAAAGTACGTTGGCCCATCATGAAAAACCTCCCCTGCTAATTTCATCTAATTGTGAAGAAGTCAGACGGATGCTTAGTCGATCAGTGCTTGACCTTCCATTCTCGACTGTAAAAATAAATGGGTGAATGGTGCAACTAATTCTGGAAGGAATACCACCTTCGTCTTCAATCTGTAGCTCTCCTCATCCCTTCTGCCGATACACGTCCACTGAAGAGGAGCGTATTTCATTGATGGAAATGTGTAACATGGTCAGACCCCCGCCGCGTATAACCGTTACACCAAAAGGTGAAATACTGAAAGCTTATATTTCAGTATTAGCGACGGTATATGTACTGATTATGAGAACTCAGGTAAGCCAGCGTGCTTACAAAATGGCTGTATGTCTCCTTCCCTCCTACAACTCTAGCCCATCTTGCACTCTTCTAGACCACCGGCACCCCATCATCACCACGCTCCTCCACCTACAAGCTGTGCTTTCCCTCCCGCTTCAACATGTACTCTGGGAGCGAGGGCCGTGAGGTCACGAATTTGATTATGCTGCCAGTTTTTTTTGAGTATTGCAGGTTGTGTGGGGCTTGTGGATGTACGTTGGGCGGGGATGCGTCGATCGGTCATTCTAGTTATAGTTCCGATGTCACGTCGTAAGTCAGAATGTAAAGAGGTAGAAATGATAACGATCAAGTTATGATGCATGATGCGTGAATTTTCACAAAAGCTGGGATGGAAAATGCCAAAGCCATTTTCTACACGGTGAAACTGTGAATAGCCTTGTAGCTCAAACATCACTGAAATCGGTCGAGATAGCCCAACGAGGTATACCCCTTCCATCTCTTATCGGTTGCAATGATTCAATGTTCCAAGTTCAACATATGTGCCATCCGCAAGTGTCGTGTTCTGGGTGCCCTATAATTACCTATTTAATCATAAATAAAGTGTATATAAGCACCGGCATGTTGTCTACCACGTCATGCTGTGTCGTTGATTTCTCTTGCGGCTCTATCCGTTTTCTGTGTTGTGCGTGGTGTTGTTGTGTTTCTGCCTCTTTCCTTCAACTTACCACTATGGCAACCTCCGCTTCATTTCACGGTGTTGTTGGTCTTCAGAACGGAAGCAGATATCAGATTGACAAAAAGAATTACTGGCGTCATGACGCTTTTATCGCGACTCCAGAACTGGGAGATGTTCGAATCAACGTGTTCACGTTTGGTGCGTCTGCGGAAGACGGAATCTATCTATTGGATGCACGGACCACTAGTGACTCTGATCCTATCATTGACGACGAAGGTTAATCTGCGCACTTTACTAATGATGTGCGTAAATTTTCTGCCTCCTTTGAAAAAGGACTGGTCAGAAATGCGCGCATGCGCGTGACCGCACTCCACCGTCAATTCGTCGAAGTCTAACTTTTCAATATACACTGAAAGCCGCTGCATCCCACGCATCAACTTTTTCCTCCACGCCGTTCTTTGTGGACAGTAAGCCGAAGTTAATTTCCGCTGCGGGCTGCGTACGTGACCACATTCAATGGTTGCCAAGGACTGACACTGGCGCGTACAGTACTGGACCTGCGGACCGATCCGTTTACTCGGGGCCAATTATATACGGCGTTGTCCAAGGTGAGAATGCGAAGAGATATGCTGTGTTTGTTTACAGATACGAACGAAGAACAGGACTGTGCGAATATCGTGTTTCCTCACTCGCTGCTGTAAATACAATTTGCCGTCGAAGAGCAGACCGAAGGCGTGTCCTTGTATCCAGTATGATAGGCGTCGAGTCATGTCGCCGATGTCGCGATGTGAGTGATCGCTGATGTATATCATGCTCTGCTGCAGGCTGATGTTCTATTCCGCAGCCATATCAAGCTGACGACTTCAGCTGGGCCATTACAGTGCCTGTTTTGGGCTGCGCGTCTTGCTGGACATCTGTGCATATTCATTTGGTGGTCGTGTGACCATATACTCCTGACGAAAGCCCGTGGATTTGTGAGATGAAATTTATATTCTAACAACTGTTTTTCACGGGAAGCTCCTGGGATAAAATGGATATATATATGTATGTGCATGATACGTCGGAACGGACTTCTCATTGCATCTGAGATACACTTACATCTATATAAGTTATGCCATCCTAGGCTATCATCCTGCTTCACCTAACACTCATGTTGCGACAAGTCGTTTTAGTAACTGGTTGTTCAAAAGGTGGGATTGGCTTCCATTTGTAAGTCTATTGTCTTAAACTCTTCAATGATCTTGCTACTTCAGGTTCAAACTTATGATAACCGTGACAGATGCAAGCGTTTTGCGGAGCGGGGATGCATTGTGTATGCAACGTCTCGTAGGCTGGAGACGATGGACGGCTTCAAACATTCAGTGGAAAAACGTGCCATGGATGTAACCAGCGATGACGATGTGAAACTCGTCGTACAGTCCATCCTAGAAGAGCAAGGAAAAATCGACATCGTTGTGAATAATGCTGGTATTTTGGCCATTGGTTCGTTCAAACCTTTCAAGCCACAGTGAAACGGTTGTCATGTTCGTTTTCCCTCAGGACCGTTGCTTGATGTATCCTTGGATCAGGCTAGAAAAGCGTTTGAGATCGATACGTTCTCGATCTTGCGGGTTGCACAGGCAGTCGCACCCTCTATGGTGGAACGCAAGCAAGGGCTTATCGTCAATATTGGATCAATCTCAGGAAATATGTGAGCACAGTGCAATGGTGCCATCTTTCAACTGACCCCGTCTTATTAGCCCTACTCCATGGAACGGAATATACTGCGCAGCAAAGGCGGCAGCTCACGCGCTCAGCGATACTCTGACCATGGAATGCAAGCCCTTCGGTGTTAAAGTGATTCTAGTCGCACCAGGCTGCATCAAGTCAAACATCAGTGCCAACCAAGCAGCCACACTTAAATTATCCCCCACATCCATCTACAAGCCTTACTTCGATCGGGTATACGAACGCTTGCATATCAGTCAAGCCAAAGAGTCCATGCCTACTGATGAATTTGCACGACGTGTGGTTGCGAAGGTGCTGAGTCCCAACCCTCCAACTTATATGTCACTTGGGGCCAACTCGCGTATTTTCGCATTCTTCCACTGCCTCCCTCGCTGGCTTGTCTTCTGGATTCTGAGATGGAAGCTAGTGTGGAGAAAGACCTGAACTATCTGCGTAGCCACCACCTGCCATGGACGGAACAATGGGTGGTCGCGGAAGATCCAGGTTGCTGGCAACTGATGGGTCGTGAGCCAGATTTTGAGCCAGGTCCGGAATATTGTGCGTGAGTTAAGCAGTGAAGATGTTGTAGATTTTGATGGTCGTTGAGGGTCGTTGGCGGGAGATTAATCTTATTGTAAGGCTTGACGAGGAGGTGCTTGCGTTCATGGAGAAGTAGAGTTGATGGCGAGTAGTGTGTATATTGCGTGCTGTTTAAATTATTGACTTGAATATATGCTCGTACTGAGCAGCAATCGACGATGTTCAGCGAATCTTCTTAGAAGATATACCCTACTATACGCGTTGGCTTATGAAGCACGTTGGATGTGTAAGTCTGCTACATCTTGTAGAGACAAGGCTGCGAGTTCAAACGCCGTGAGAGAGGGTGACAATTCTCTGCCTACTACTACATAAAGTTGTAGTTTTATATGTATCGAAGACGTAAGAGGGGAAGTGGCACCATCAAGGAATAAGGTACGAATCCATCGCCGGGGGAATATTCCCACTCTATGACGCAGCGAGGCACGAGCGTAGTCTTAGAGTTCCGTCTTTGGAAGAGCGGAAGAAGCCGGCGCTTCTTCTTTCCGCTCTTCCACCAGTAAGAACATCGACGAGCATATCGTCGAGCTCTTTTCTTTTCTTCCGCTACCCGTATTCCGTCCCTTTCTAGCAGTATTACCCTCTACCCTAATAAAGAACTCCTCTCATTTCGACATGGCGTGTATCGCATCAGACCCAGCATTAGATATTGAACCAGATTTCACATCCATCACTTTTGAGGGAATCAGAAACTGAATCATCGGAAACTCACAACTGACCCACGAAGAAGCAGCCAATGAACTGGCCACCGGCTGGAACCAGGACCGTGACATCCGCGTTGCAGCCTGGATGGTGCAATCCAATGAAGAGACACGGCTGGCAAATGAAGCAGCTCAAGCAGAACGTGCACGTGTAGAACAGGAGAAGCTTGCCCTTGAGCAAGAGGCCGAGAAGGAGTGCCGGGAAACAGAGAAGAAGAAGCCAAAGATCAACAATTTAAAGGCAGGCATCTCTGTTGGCAACTCCCTTACTCACCGCCCCTCCCAGTATGCCATCCATAAACTCAAGTCCTTCGAGTACGTGGAGCTCTGGTATTTTAGCCCAGACAGATGCAAAGAGGCAGCCGACGAGGCGAAATGCTCAGCTGACAACACCTTCGGCTTCACGAAAGTTGATGACTTCGTCACGCTGAAACTGGTTGCTTCATTCAGACCCTCCCGAAAAGTCATCCAAGACCACAGCTTGGAATGGCGACAATTCGACATCGCAAAGAATAGCTTCCTCCTCCAGATCAACAGGCTTGGATGGCCTGAAAAGCACCAACGCGCCATCACGATGTTTTTCATGAACATAGTTTCTCATCCACAACACGCTGAACCTTTTGGTGAGCGAGTGTTATTGCTATACGCTGCCCGCGTGCAAAGAGACTGGGACGACACCCTCACCCTTGATAATGCGTTCGACATCAGTATTTTCAACTTGACACTTTTGAAGAACCTTGCCGAAGAGGTCTGGAACAAAGTCCGCCTTGATAGTCTGACGGAGGTTTGTCATTTCATCTCGACCCACAACAGACACACGCTAATCTTTCGTTTCTTATCGCGTTCCTACATGCTCATTGCTACCACCCCATAACCCACTACCATCCATGCTTCCACGACACCATCCGCTACCACCTGCTACCACCTGCTGCTGCTGCCATCCCGCTTAAACACTCGCTGCCTGTCGCCCTTTCCTCCCCGCTTTCACGTGTTTCCCAAAACCCAGCTCCAGCTAGCCATGATGATGCACAGCGATAGACGTGATTCTCAGACTCCGTCTCAATGTAACCAAGCCCGGTCATCCACCCGCAACACTCGCTCTCGCTCGCGCTCTCCTGCACGAAATTCGTCAGGACAGCCTCCTCCGCGAGCACCGTCACCCAGCCGCAAACGTCCTCGCCAAGAGCCCGAACGTTCCACCCTTGAGAAGACTCCTTTTCAGAACAGCGCAGCATCACCCGGCCTCCATGCCTGCGCTGTATGCCTCGGCCGCTTCGCGCACAACGTCCACAAGTGCAAAAGCGAATTCTTATGGGACGGGAAAACTCCCACATCCTGTCGAAGGAATGGTGAAGGTCGTCTCGTCAACACCCAAGGACTACAGCTGTGTTACGACTGGCAATGCCCCAACGGATGCACCAGCACCAGCAAGGACCACATCCACGAGTGCTCCGGGTGCGGCATCGCAGATCACGGAGCTCAGAAGTGTCCTCGAGGCCAGGAAGCATAATGCCCTCACACCCTATCATGCCACTACCTGGTCCCATCTTCTCAATAAGTCTGGTCTTATATGTATATATCTGCACATACCTCAATCATTACAATTCGGCTTCAAAGGCAGCATCCCCCATATTACCTACACGTACACTCCTCCTAATAGCCCCTCCGTTATCGAACATTCCGATGCCTTCTCCACCATCCTCAGCCGAGAATTCGGCACAGGAAGATACCTTGGTCCCCTGTCGAAAGCCAAAATGGAAGATCTCATCGGGCCATTCCAGACAGCCCCACTTTCGATCATCCTGAAGCCTGGAAGACCCAGAAAGTTCCGACTTATACAAAACCTTTCCCACAGTTTCTCCTCTCTCACTCATCCCATTGCCTCCATCAATTCCTCCATTGATTCAAACCTCTACCCCTGCACGTATGGTATGTTCTCCACCGTCTGTCTACTCAATGGCGACTTCCCCCAGGTTCACAAGGTGCCATGCGAGACGTGGCAGAGGCTTATCGTACCATTCCCCTCCACCCATCCCAGTACCCTGGCCTGGTCGTGCGCACTGGCGAAGATCTATTTGCCATTGACACCAGCTTCTGCTTCGGATGCTCATCAGCGGCCAGCTCTTATGGAGGCCTCGCTGACGCTGGTGCTGACATTTTCTGCAGCGAAGGAATCGGCCCATTATCAAAATGGGTCGATGACCATCTCTCATCCGCATCCTGTGGTTACACCTGGAGAAATACAATGAGCAGCGAAAGCTTTGGGCCTGCAGCATCCAAGACCAGGGCGGTCTTCATAGAGATGGGGGCAGAAAGTGGTATCGAGGCGCAACTCTACCAAACGACCAACCAGAGGAGTACAATGAAGACTGTTCATTCCCCCTGCTTGACTCATCACAGAACTCCCCCCACTCAACTGAAGACGAAAAATTCTCCTACTGCATGGCAGATATCAACACTCTCCAAAGAAACCGGGACCCTGTGGGAGATATCCAAAGACATTGAATTTCGCTCCAACCCGCCATTCATGGGCTTCACGTGGGACCTCAATGCTTGCACCATCGAAATTCCAAGGGAGAAAAAGGAGAAGTACTTGGTGGCTATATCAGCCTGGGAGTCCCGAACCCGCCACTCTCTGCTCGAGGTCCAGAAGCTTCATGGCAAGTTGCTACACGCTGCACACGTTATTCCAGCTGGAAGAGCCTACATCACTGAGGTGGAGGCCATGCTCTCCATCTTCGGTGACCGTCCTCTCCTGCCTTGTACCCCACCAAAGAACTGCGCAGCTGACCTCAGGTGGTACACCTCCCTCCAGCAGCAGCGTGTTAGTAGAGTCATCCCAGGCCCGTGCTCTGTCGACGACCCAAACACCTTCTCTGATGCTAGCTCAGGCGTGGGAATCGCAATTTGGATCAACGGCTGGTGGTGTGCATGGCGCCTTGTCCCAGGATGGAAAGCAGACAGCCACGATATCGGTTGGGCTGAAGCCATCGGCTTCGAGTTCCTCGTCCTCAGCATCATCCAAAACGCACAACCCCACCCTCTGCCTTGCTTCAAGGTTTACGGAGACAACAGAGGAGTTGTGGAAGGATGGTGGAAAGGGCGCAGCCGCAACCACCCAACCAACACTGTGTTCAAGTGCATTCACTGTGCCGCTGAATCCGCTGCCTGTATCATCCTCACACGCTATGTCTGTTACGCACTCAAATAGATCTGTTATGCGGAGCCCTAAGAGGGGCGTCGTCCGCTAACGTTCGTGACGTAACCGGAAGGATCCGGTATAGCGAGTGAGACTGGTGATGACGAGTTGGCAGTGATCACAGTATGCACGTGTCACGTGACTTCTGAGACAGATGTCTTAGAAGTCGCTCAAGGTAAGGACAGTCTTGTCCAAACAATGAGGTCGATCGAGGTAGACTTAGTCGCAATGAGCAACTAAGAAAAGATACTAGAGACTGAAGCCAAAGGGGCGTTCAGAGAGGAGTATGTTCCAGGGAAGATTGAGTAGATTCAAGTTAGAGAATCTAGTACAAGGTGACCGACTACTTATACTAAGTGGAGAGGGTTAAGGGCAAGGCTACCGCACAGTAGATAAGGGTAAAGGGGAAACGAGAATGGTATAGGTGCGTTGGCAACAGAGCCGAATTAGTGATGGATGGTCGAATGTGGAATGAGACCGAGAAATGTTGGAACAGACCAACGGTAAGAATACAACGTGCGGGAATCCGCAGTCAGAAGGAACAGAAAGGGAAAGCCACATTGGTGGCACGAGTCAGACCGAGTCATAGGTGCGGGACCACATTGGTGGTCGAATCATAGGAGGAATGTGCGTGCACGTGCATAGAGGCGGGCGATGCGAGGGACAGGAATGGTCCCGAGGATCCGGTCAACGGAAAGTCGGTAAAGGAGGATGAGCTGGTAGATGGTGAGGGCGAGGATGAAGGGAAAATGATAGGGGGGCCACGTGACCGATGTTACTTGTAACAATGTCCCTAGTGCTCTTAATCCTGCAGACGACGCATCACATGGAAGGTACCCTAACCACTCCTTTCTTCTGCCCCCCATTCATATCCCTCCCTCCATCTGGGATTTCGTTGTCGACTTCGATGCCCCTCTACACCCAAACGAGCATAGAGAACGCACCCAGTCAGTCCCAGTTCTCGGGCGCCCCAAGACCCATTCCAAGCGCGATGACACCAACCATGTGCTCGAGAACAGAACCCTCGAACGGCAAGGAGAAGAACTCCTCCAAGCGTCGCAGATATAGTAGGTTTCCCTATGCTTCACTTCAGGCTTCCCGTGGCTACCACTAATGGCTGTACAGCCTATGCTCCTGACCTCAGCCCACGACCCTTGTTGTTGCGTCTGCACTGTCCCGCCAAGCAGCAGTTACGCTTGTGGCTCCCATTCACATCTTGCCCCAAACCAAACACTCTCACCACAGAAGACATGACGCGCATCCAAGACGTCATGTGCCATGCGTGGGCAGACAGCACCCACGAGTCCTACGGCTCAGGCCTCCTCATCTTCCACGTATATTGCGACTCACGTGAGATACCAGAACCAGACCGCGCACCAGCTTCTTCAACCCTCATCTCCGCTTTCATCGTGTTTGCTGCCGGTTTGTACTCCAGGAAAACCATCGCAAATTATGTCTTTGGCATACGAGCCTGGCACATTCTGCATGGTGTGAAGTGGTCACTCGACGATGTCCAGATCAACACGTTACTGAAAGCTTCAGAGAACCTTGCACCCCAGTTGTCGAAGTGCAAGAAATGCCGCCCATACACCGTTGATTTTATATGTTCACTGCGCGACCATCTCAACCTAGACTTGCCGCTTGATGCCTCAGTGTTCAGTTGCTTCACGACGTCCTTCTATTGCACTGCGTGGGTCAGGGAGTTCATGGTTCCCTCCCTCTCATCATTCGACCCTGACATCCATGTCAAGCCTTCGGATATGTGGGTTGAACGTGACCGCAACAACCTGGAAATGAGGGTCTTTCATATCCCGAAAACGAAAACCTCCAGAGAAGGGGAGGATGTCTCGTTCGCATGGCAAATGGGACCTTCGGATCCTGAGGAAGCCTTAATCAACCATTTCAGAGTAAACCAACCTCCCGCCGGGGGCACCTTATTTTCATATTGCTTCAAAAATGGTCACAGACCACTAATGAAACAAAAGTTTATAAGCCATCTAGCTCAAGCAGCCAGAGCTGCAGGTTCAGACCCACTTCAAGGACATGGCATCCGCATCGGCTCTACTCTAGAATACTTGCTGTGCAACGTTCCATTCGAGGTTGTCAAGACGAAAGGTCGCTGGGCTAGCGACACATTTCAGTTATACCTCCACAAACACGCTCAAATAATGGCACCATACATGCAAGCCATACCATCGCTTCATGAGAACTTCCTTCATTTTTCAATGCCGAGAACGCAATGAGCATTAATTCGAATCGTGTGTCATCCCCACCTCCTACTATGTCGGGTTTTCTCTGGCGTCACTGCGATGCATTGTCGTGGACTCCTAGTACTTTGGGGGATTCGCAGCTCACCTTTTCTCGGGCAGATCTTCATTTGGGGCCGGATAGCACTTTGCGCTCTCACCCATTATCTTAGTCTGTCGTACCTCCATTCCTGTAGCTTCGCATTAGAGTAGAATGCATTCTGTCTGATGATCTCGTGCAAAACATCGGCATCTGAGCGTCAACCAAAGACAGCTCCTTACAGATGAAATGCGACTCAGTATATTAAATGGAATTTTGGAGAACGACAAAGGGGGGTAAGCAACGTAATATTATAGAACGAAAACATGATATTTCACACCAAAAAAAAAATTTTGCTTGTTACATATGGTGTTGATTATGCAGTTACAATGCCGCAGCGAGCGGTGGCAGCAATGCGAAAATTCATGGGTATGACAGTATGCCTGAAACAAGTACTGATTGCCCCCATGTAACTCGAGACTTACTTATAATGCTGTTGATACATGGTATGCATCAGCAAACTATTGATTTCGTGACAATTCCCACACTTGTGACAATTCCCCACAATTCCCCACAAGACGTCACAGGTCTCACAGACAACACAAACAAATGACTATAAATTTGAATAAAAGCAAACAAGTCGCACAAGCAAGCACAAGTGCACAAGCCTGCACAAGTGCACAAACTGTACAAGAGACACAAACTGTAGTGTGAAATATAATACTAGTGTACTATACTAGCAACAAATTTATATACATATGCGCAGTGAGAGAACAGACTATTTACATCTAATACATTGATTAATAACACTAGTATGAGAGCAAAATGCACTTACTACTCAGTGTCATGCTCGAATAGTAGTAAACATTGTGATGCCACTTTTCCTCCAGCGCTCTGAGTGCATGCGTCCGACATTAAGGTCAGCCAATAATAGACACTTGTTCACAGCTTCTGCCCGATGGTGGCAGATATGGGTAAGTATTTGATGTTGTTCCAAAAAGCAGTCAGCCAGGTGTTTTTGAGCTTGACAAACTTTAAGTTTGGCCTGGGCTGCCTCGAGCACAAGGTCGGAGTTATCTTCTTCTGGTTGATCAAACAAGTAGCAGGACTCAGCTGAGTCTCGTTCCTGCAGATAGCGGATATGAGTGACAACTTGAAAGCAACACATTAGCGATTGCAACTCACAAAGTGTATCGCTATGGGTAAGCTCTCCTCCTCCTTTTCTTCTTCTTCCTCTTCCTTGACAAGGTGCGATTGCAATGGAGAATGTGAAAGGTGTGGATATCTGGCGTCAGGCCAGGGGGATGATAAGCCTGGAGGAGTTGAAGAGGAATCAGAATTGTGAGAGTCAGGCGAATAGTAGGAATGGCAAGAGGATGGACGATAGGCAATTTTGGGGGAGGCGCGAGAAAAGATTTCAGGCATATGGATGTACAGGTAGTAGCTTGATATTAAGAGCCTGTTCGGTAAGTTAGTAATTAGATTGCAGATTTCTGAATGAAATAAGTGTGGGAACTTGAGCATATTAGTATGTCGACACCTACATGTCTGAAGTGCGGAAAGGTATTCACTAGGGACTCCAGTGTTACTCATCATCTAAGCCAGCCTCATACATCTTGTCACAGTTCCATTCGTGATATTGTCGACGTCTTGGAGTTCACAGATGTAGTTCCACCACAATGATCCCTCAACCCACCTCAGAATTCGAATACTAGTATGGGTCAGAGATTTGATGTTACTGATGACTCCCAATTTGATGCTCAGGCCGGGGATGGTACTAACTTAGACAGAGACCTCTTCAACACAGCAGGAAACTTACCTCCAAGTAATAAGGAATGGTATGAGGGTGCAGCCAAGTGCTATCCTCAGGACGGCGCCACATTTCTGGATCTCTTCGACGCCAATGAGTATGCAGAATACAGGAAGGAGAACCTGTTTTACCCATTCGCATCGAGGGAAGAGTGGGAGGTCGCTGACTTCCTCCTGCGTTCTGCCCTTAGCATGGCAGCAATTGACACCTTTTTGCAGCTCTCTATGGTACATATCTTTCTTGTTGCTTTCACACTTCGACCATGACATTACCTCACAGATAAAATGATTAAACCCATCGTTTAACAACGCTAAAGATTTGCGAAGTCGGGCTGAAATGCTGCCGAAGGGACCGAGCTGGAAATGCCAAATCATTCCCTCGCTTCATGGCACGAAAAGCCTGATTCGACTTTTTTGGAGGGATCTGGTCGACTATTTGGAGAGTCTATTTAGTAACCCCCTCTTTCACGACCAACTTGACTTTATCCCTTGTCGTGTTTATAAGACTGCAGCGCGGCTCCTGCATGTATATTCGGAATGGTTGACAGGTGACGCCACTTGGAGCATCCAGGTATATGCGGTTGATGGACTCATGAGGGATGCTATCTCACAAGACTGTAGGATCAACTGCCCCAAGGCACAACAATCCTTAGCACCGTACTTTTGTCTGACAAAACTAATGTCACGACGATGACAGGTGCCAGGGTCGCACACCCACTGCTACTAGGCCTTGCTAATATTCACATGTGCACTCGCACGAAGCTCTCATCCAAGGCATTCATGCTCACAGCTCTCCTCCCTATCCCGCAGTACTTACACCCCAATCAATGAATGCGGGGTATGCTCGAAGATTGCCTCATCCACGAATGTCTTTCAATCATTCTGCAGCCTCTGATGAAAGCTGCCGAACTCGGAATAATGATGGCAGACCCAGTGGGAAACATTTGCCACTGTTTTACCCCCCTTGCGGCATACATTGTTGATACTCCTGAGGCATGTATGCTCGCATGTGTGCGTGGTAAAACCTCTCCATTTACAATGGCGTCGTACCTGCAGTTCAGGGACAACTTTCGTCACCCCACACGTACATGTGCAATCACTCTTGAGCAGCTCACCAGCATCGATGTTGATCCCAACAACCTTGAAGCTTTTTTTGCTGCATGCGCGGAATTCTGGCTGAATGGTGTCTTTGCACCTTTCTGGAAGGGTTGGCGGTTCAGTGATCCCACAATATTTCTTACACCAGAAGCTTTGCATCACTGGCATAAACAGTTCTACGATCACAACTTGCAATGGTGTCTTGCAGTTCTTGGAGTGCCAGAATTTGATTTCCGAATCTCAATATTGCAGCCCATTACAGGCTATCACCACTTCTCCAGCGGAATATCCAAACTGAAGCAGGTCACGGACAGAGTCCACCGCGATATACAGCGCTACATTGTTGGACTGATCGCTGGTGCAGCCCCTCGTAGGTTTGTGATCGCAATTCGTGCTTTAATGGATGTCCGATACTTGGGGCAGTCTCCCGCACCTGATGATGACTCACTGGCATTCATCGACAGATCACTCGCAATCTTTCACGACAACAAAGATGTCATTATGACACTAGGTGCTCAGATGGGTACAAAGAGAGCCATTGACAATTGGCACATACCCAAGCTAGAGCTCATGCAGAGCATTACCACTAGTGCACGCCAAGTTGGCGCTCTCATCCAGTGGTCCGTGGATGCAACTGAACATGCACACATCACCGAAATCAAGGACCCAGCACGGCATACTAACAACAACGATTATGATCCCCAGATCTGTCGTCACCTAGATCGAGAGGAGAAACTGCATCGTTTTGCAATTGCTACAACTCTCAAGAGCCCTCCCACACATCCTGATCTCGAAGAACTCCATGAGGATGAAGGGGACAAGGAAGAGGATAAGGACAAGGAAGAGGAAGAAAATGGGGAAATTAATGAACCGATGGATCTGCAAAGTGCACTCTTACAGGAACTAAATCATATGCGTACCACTTCCAACTACTTCTGCAAAATAAGATCGTTGGCTACTGCAAGGCACGATGGAATTCCTCAGACTCACCCTCCTCGCACGTTCCTTGCTGGCAGCACCACTGTTCATCTCAACTGTAACCCCACCCGCTGTAGAGACTCATGCCTCTCATTGTGCAATATGGCAGTTTTTACTGGGGAGTACATGGCACGAACTTGTAGCATCACTCTGTGTGCTACCCGCAGCTATCTCTATATGAGGCGCAGCTTTCCCGCGCAACGCGCGCCATGCGCGCGTACCTTTCCCGCACTTCACGATGTATATGCGCGCGCGCTTTCCCGCGCTTGAGCGCCCTATAGCGCCAGCCATCCGGAAGCATCCATCCACTGTCCACCAAGTTCCCTAGTGCGTATATTTCCATTTCTCACATTTGCTTATCGTTCCATCTTTATTTTTATCATGGACCCTTACTTACATATATCTTTACATACCTTACTCGGTAGCGCTTCGGCTCCGCATGACAGCGCTTAGGCGCCATACTTAAGCGCCAGCAGTACATACTATGACTGACGAACTTACTCTCCCACCAGAACGACAGAGGACTTACTGGTTACTACCCACTATTTACCTAGCAGAACATAGTAGAAATCTATTTGTTTACACCTTGCATCTCCCTTCTCTTGTCTTACATCATATCATCACCTAAGCAAACTCACTCTTACTCTCTCTCGTATCTGTATACACGCGCACGCTTTCCTGCGCTTCGCGCCATACGCGCGCATTCCCGCGCCTTGCGCGCACCTGCGCTTTCTCGCGCTTCGCATTGGCCAACCAGTAGCGCTTTCAGCGCATACCTCTAGATCCTTGCTGCACTCGCTTCCCCTTTAGGGTCGAACACACTTGTCATCTCAAGTATAGCAGACTAGGCAATGCACGACCTTACAACAATTATAGATACAGTCAGGAGCATTGTTCGTGCCTCGCTGTATCGTTGAACCTTCACCGCACTGGCTTGAAGATTGATGAGGTCACCAATCAATTTGACATCCCAGATCTGCAATATGCACTATCAGACTTCCTTCGACGTGATGCGAGGAACGGAAATGGAGTTTTTGGGGTGGGGGTTCCAAGAAGATTGCTGATTGACCGCCCCTTGAATATCCCTTTCGAGCATGTTCAAGTATGGCATACCGTTCGCTTACAACAAGTTTGTCTCCACGATTCCAGGGTTGTTTTGCCTGCACAAACCATGCATGCCTCTCCTCCATGCCCTGGGTGGCCAAAAGGCCGACAAGATGTTGCTATTCTCAACATCGATAGCGCGTATGATTGGCCTAAGTCAGGGTTAACAGGTGAGCTCTTTAGTGCTCATATACAACTTGATTACCCCTGACACCTTTTCCCTCTTTTGAAGGTCATGCTGTCTGTGAATTGCAGCTCATCATGCGCCCAATACCTCGACGGGGCTCACCTATCACATGGCGTGATCAATATCTTTGTTATGTGTGCAGCTTTAAGATTGGTGTGATTGATTCTGTCACCGAGATGCACACATTGGCATGGGCAAAACATGCCAATGGTACTCTAGTGGGAGATATCGTTCCTCTGATGCAACTTCGAGCATTCATCAACATCATCCCAAAACTGGGTGCTGCAGCGGATCCTCGGTTGACTAAGTCTACTTCTGCGCATTATCATTCTTCATTTTACTTGAATAAGTACTTTGATAAGCAAATTTATGATACCCTGTACTATGCGTCGCAAGGATAGATACTAGTACTGTTGGATCATTTTCTTTCCTAGTGATATGACAGATTGTTTTGTGTAGTACTACTACTACTCAATGAGGAAACCCACGATGCCCATGGTGGCACTGCAAGCATTGCTACTGTACACTAGAGGGAGCGCTTGCTCGACAAACTTACCGACCATTAAGACAGGCAAGTGAGTTGTTGCTGTAGAATATGCCAGTTGTAGTACTCATTACTCCATAGCGTTGACTGGTCTCGACTCTGAATCCATCCGAGTCAGATGCCACAGAGTCTGACCTGCTCGCTCACCAAACTTCCCCAATGTCACAAGCCACCACATCATTCGACCTCTATCTCTGCGCCCCTTCACTTAGCTCGACAGGTTTCCCGCCTGAGGGTGGTTGCACCTACGATCTCCTCAAAGACCTACTCCAATCAGAACTTGAAGGCCATGTCATCTTTGAGGTTGACCTGAACATCAAATATAGTGCTAGCCTTTTCCACCAACTCGTTCCTAAATTCTCATTGAAGATCACGCATATCACACGAATCAAATACTACGGCCGAAATAATGGACCACCGGTATATTTCCAGGGCGCATGGAATTTCAATCGCCAAAAAAAGCCCAAATTGAATGATCAGAGCAACAACTCCAGCTCAGGCAACTCAGATGCCGATAAATCTGGTACTAGCACAGATTTTGACATAGATGATGAGGCCTTGGATTCTCAAGGTTCAGGAATGATCTCTCAAGACACAGATGGAACCTGGAGTCATGATGAATACGATGGCACCGCAGAACCAGGATCAAAGAGGAGGTGTAAACCCTCGTCGACCGAGAAAGACTTGCAGTGCCTCTTCAAAGCCGTTATGTATGCCCTGCGCTGTGAACCGTGCATTCGAGCTAAACTTCCTTTCCAATCATCGAACATCGAATGCTACTGGTCTGCAGAGTTTGCTAACTCACCCATACAAGACTCTTACAATGCACAAAAGCCCGATGTTGCTCTGTTTTATTACAAGAGTAAGACTTGCGAGAAAACGTGGACAGACGTTCTGAGCTTTATCGAGCACACATCCTCTGATTTCAGCAAGAGGCATGATCTAGGAGGGTACTGGGGGTCCACCACTAAAGCATATCTCATTATGCGAGAACAGCCCTGGTGTCGCTTCATCACCTCATTCTCTATCTGTGCCAACCAGCTTCGTGCCCATTATTACGACCGCTCGGGCCTCATCATAACTCTTCCAACTCCTATCCAATCATCACCCACTCGTGTCGCTGATGCAATAGCTGCTCTCTCATTAGCAGATCCAAGCCTTTTGGGTCTTGACCCCACAATCCACATGTGCATCCCTTCTTGCAAAAGTACTCACACTGACCTGGCAGTAGGGGCGATTGGTTGGGTAACTAATAATGCTGATAAAAGATACTCAATTATGGCTGTTCTGTGGAAGAGCCAGGGTCTATTTTGTCGTGGGACAGTTTGTTACCGCGTTCAGGATCCTGTAGATGGCAAAGAATATGCGATGAAAGATTGTTGGGTGAATGAGGTGAAGAGATACCACGAAGTGGACGTCCTCAAGAGGCTCAAGGGCATCCCTAATGTGGTCCAACTCATAGACCATTGGGATGTCCTATTCAATGGGGAGCCTGACTGCACATCCCGCATTCGAGATGGATATGGTGTCCTTGAGGACTGGCCGGACAAGAGGTTTTGTAATAGGTATCACCGGCGCCTTCTCTTGACCCCCTGTGGAGATCCTGTCATGGGATTTCAGCTTCAGAAAGGAACTGATTTGTGCCTTTTGTGACTTTGTGGTCGGTGAGTTCAGTTTCATGCGTTTTTATTGTTGTATCATTTAACATTCTATCTATAGCTCATGAAGCAATGATTCAGCAATGAATTCTACATGGAGACCTCAGTCCAAACAATTTCGTAATTCATGAAGGTATTGGGTATTTCATTGATTTTGACCACACATCAATCATAAAGGAGGGCGAGACATTTACAGTTTCGTTCGGTACTGTAAGTTTGAACGTGAAGCTCGTGGTTCTCGCTATTGATTGTCGATATTTCAGGGAACTGTGCCGTATATCTCCATGCGCATTTTGAAAAAAATGTCAAAGAATGCTGACATCATCAAGAAGTCCATTAAAGAAAAAAAGAACAACTCCAACAACTCCAACAGCATCGCTCAGCTGGAGCTGGTCGAGCACAATCCTAGTGATGACCTAGAGTCACTTTTCTACATTTTTTTCGAATTTGTTTCCAAGTACAGGGGGGCACATGGTACACTCGCTCCGACTTGGGATAAGACAAGTATGCCATGGGCGGATGCCTATAAGAATTTGGGTGCTACAAGCGGTTTGCTTGCCACCTTTTTGGCGAAAAAGGGAGCCATGTCCGAAGGTGATATTCTGATGGACAGAGTATCAGACTACTTTTCAGAATTCAAGCCCATTGTTGATGAATGGCACCTTCGAATTCATTGCACAGAGTCCCAATCTCGAAGGAGCAATCATTCACAACCACATCTTCCAAATGCTTGTCAAATTCATTACAAAACTTAACGATGAAGAACCAAACCCATTTCCCTCTCCATACCTTCCAGTAGCTCCCCCGAGTGCCCCAAGTACTCATCGTACCGGTGCACCTCCCGTCGTTCAACCCACGGCAGGGCCTTCTCTATGTCGTTCATTGTGGCTCAGCACAAGCTGGTGGACTTGATGGACTCACACAATTCTGATGCCTCCTCTTCATGCAAACTCACTCATGTGTTCCTATATGTTTATTTTTCTTTCTCTTATGCTACCTCCCTTAGTATGCAAATCATGGACATCTCCTCAGATTACTATTGACATGCAATCATGATTATGTAACATGGATTATGTCATGTTCATCGGTGCCATAACTAGAGCTACATGCGTACATATTGAAGTTGTCTGGTACCATGCCTCTGAGGAAGAAGCCCAGACGTTCTTCACCGGATCTACAGGCGACTGCTCGGCGAAGCTCAAAACCTGGCCATGGTGTTGGTGGCCATGCTGCACAGCTGCAAAAAGTTGGAGAAACAGTTGCCGCCCCAGCAAGGAAAGGACTGAAGGGTGACAATCTTCAAATCAGTAGCTCTGAAGAAAATCCTATGGCTCCTTCGCAGCTTCAGAAAGGAAAGAAAAATGTAATGTGATTTTTTTATGATTATGTTCGGGCTAATTTTTTCAGCCTCCTGCAAAACATCGCAGCACTGCCAAGAAAACGCAGAACGAACACAGAACAACAGAAAGCAGCCAGCATCCTCAGGCTCCTACTTCCCGTCCGAACCCACATGCGGCTTGCTCTTCCGAAAGGTTCGGATTCAAGGAACCCCAGTCCAATGGTTGCGAGAGGGCCAGAGAGGGATGGCCCATGCAGAAGGACACACAGTCCAGTGGTCACAAAACGGTTGGACGGAACACGGGTCAGCGAGATGCAGGTCATGAGAGGGAGTCCACGGAACCTGGTAGTGGTTGCGAGAAGGACAGGCAGGACACAGATGATGACAAGGAGTTTGCGCTCAGCTCTCATGAACGCGATGAGTCCGATGACGGTGCTGACCACAATGATGATTTTGACAGTGGTATGCAGGTGTGAGTATTCTTCTGTCTGTCATTTGCATTCTCCCTGATATTATGTTCTCTTTGCAGGGACAGAGATGATGGTCAGTGCACGCGCCAGCGAACGGATGACACAGGCGATGCAAATGATTTTAACGAAAATCTGGGTCGACCTTTACCGGATGATGAAGCTCAAGGAGATGCAGATCCGCATGATAAGCTCACATATATGGAGCAGGATGAAGTATTTACGTTTTTTTTGTTCCATTCCCACATTAATTGTCTGTACTTGAGGTTTACGACGTTCTCAAGCATCATCATGCAAAGAATGGGCAGTGCAAAGCTCCTTCACTGACCCATTTGTCGAATGGGCAGGAACGTGCACATACTTTCCATCGCTCAAAATCCTCTCATCGATGCCCATCCCAGCGTGTTTGTTCTAAATCTCCTCGCCCATGCTCTCCCCAACACATCAGGTGCTCGAAGTCCACTCATTGATATCCATCGTCTGGAGGAGCTTCTGCTGTTCGAGTGCATAGACCTTCACCTGCACATCATTCCTCTCATTCAAAGTCTCTGCGTCAACAATTATCGCAGCACGACAGATATGTACGCACTTCATCATGCACGCAGTCTCCTCTTCGGCACCCATCTCAACCAATTACTTCCTCAAGTCACAGTCACACACAGCCCACCTCTCGTGGACGCCCTCCATCATGCTCTCCATCTGACACTCTTCTAGCTTCAAGCCGTGAATGTTCTGGTAGTTCTACACCCAAAGATACTCGTCGATCTGGAAACAGCAAACGGACGGTCAAGACAAACCAGGATAACCCTTCGAAGCTAGGATTTTATCCGCCCACTTGGCAAGCATTTCTGCAGATTGCGAAGTTAGAGATGCGGTTGCAGGCCGTTCTAGCTTATCCAATTCCAGAGTCCCAGGAAGCCCTCAACCTTGCACGAGAAGTCTTGGACACTGTGCTATGGACATACCACGAGAAGAATATTAAACTTGAGAGAGGTATATTCTCCCTACACCACCGTCTATCCTTCTCACATCAGTTTTTTCAAGGTTACTTTCCACAATACGACACGCAGATGTGCCGGCTGGTAAGTTCTTCATTTATTGATAGCGAATGCGCTCGCTGATACTACGTCGATGAGCTGTGCGATGATCTGTTCACATTCCGCACAGAGCTCAAAAAAATCATCATATCTATTGCAAAAAGGGCGTATAATATCTTCCCACAGGGCTCAACAATGCGAAAGGACGAGGCTCAAAAGCAGGTCACCACAGCTGCCACTAAGCTCCTCAAGAGCGGTGATTACCTCCGGCTCCCTGACTCGTCTGATGTAGGTTGCAACACCTGGTAATGGTGTCATTTAAAATTGATTCTCGCAGGGAAAATTCAAGAATTTTACGGTGCAGGCTCTCAAGGACGCTTGTCTCGAATTTTACTACAGCAACAGCAAGAAAGCATTAAAGAACACGGATGAATTCCACCGAACAATCCCTGTCAATGCTATGCTTCTTGTAGCAGTAGTGGTATGTTTTTAATTCTTTATCCTTTCACCGCTGATGATTCAACAGTTGAAGGGTGTTATCTCTGGCTTTCGTGAGACTGGCACCGACAAGGTTCCTGATCTAACTGCTGAGCAATGCAGGACCCACATCGTCAATTTACGGAAATCAGTTGACACACTGCTCGACATTCCGGAGCATTGCGAAGAGCTTGAAGACATGTTGGAGCAATGGGCTAGGGTTGGCATGGGTGACTCTGAGTATGTGACTGGGAGTGCGATGCAGAGGATGTTAACATCATACTTTAGTAATGCTCCGATCGATGTGCCGTGTTTTTCTTAGACAATCATTACGGTTTATGTGAGCCTTATGAGGCTGTATGTCATGTTTACTGTGTGAAGCCCTGTGATTAAATGTATCATTGATACAGTCTTTGTTATGTGTATGGTCTGTGCTATGTGTATGGTCTGTGCTATGTATATGGTCTGTGTTATGTGTGCGGTCTGTGCTATGTGTAGAGTCTGTCTGCATTGTCATGAGATGTACAGATTGTAATAGTATGTGACAGAATTGTAAAGTGGGGACATCCTTGTGTAAGTGTAATGTCTGTACAATACTGTACAATACTGTACAGTATTGTACAGGTGCCCCCTAGTTTGCTGATGTGTGTGTGACATTCAAGTTGAATTCATGCCTTTACCTCCTGTGGAGCAACAGAGAAATTGCTCACGACAGGTAAATGCATGCCCGCAAATGAAGATTTTAGATTCACATTACCTTGAGGAACCTGGTCGGGTGGTAGCATCAATGGTACAACGGGCCAGCCTCTCCAACACCTCTGTCATCATTGGTTGTTTTTTCGGGTCTTCATCCATAAGTTGCCATGAAATTTCGAGGAAGGTATCGCGATCCATGGATGGGCGACACTTGTCGCACAGCACCTCTAATGTCTTTCCACAGGACCACAAGTCCGCATGGATCGCACTGTAGAAGCCATTACCAGTGGCTGCCTTGGGGGCGATATATTCGGGAGTGCCCACAATGCCATGGAACCTATGTTCGACACCCTTGACTCACAAGGACCTGTTGAAGTCGATGACAGTCAGATGGCCGCCATTGACGGGGATCAAGATGTTATTCGGCTTCAGATCCATGTGCACCATGCTGTGTTGGTGCATGAAGTCGACTGCTTTGAACAGCTGTTTAGCGACAGACCACAGGTGTGCACTGGGCTTTGTTAGCGACGTGAGCCAGCCACCAGCCACTGGCATCGATATGATGTTGCTGCCACGCACAGGCCAGATTCGTACTCCAGAGATGGTATGATTTGCAGGGGAATCAATTCCTGTGAGGTATTGCAAGATTTCAATTTCCTTCCCCCCTTTCACGAACTTCAGGTATCCCTTCTTGGACTCGTGAGTACTAGTAGTGTTCGACACGCAAGCTATCAGTGGATACTACAAGAAGTTTCTAACACATCAGTATCACATTCCCAGACGTTATGATGACACGTACCCCAGCAGGGATTAACTTGATCTTGTAATTCATCTTCTTCAGGATAGCTTGGATACCATCCGTACCAAAGACGCCGAGATCATCTTGAGGCTCCTCATCAGCATCACCCTCAACTACTGAGGCCAATGTCGAGCCGCCCGTCCTGTCCTGCTTAGCCTTAGATGTGAGGGAGAGAATCTTAGAAGCATTCTGGTTGACTTTAACAAGGCTATCCTGTTTGTGTTTGTCAAGATGCTTGGCCAAGTCCTCAAGCATTGCGATGAGGTTGTACATCTCACGAAGAAAAGGCTTGATCACAATGTAGACATAACTATCTGATAGGGATTGTGCCAGAGTCCGCAAGGACTGCACAGGGTGCACCTTTTGCCAATTGCTCTCATCCAGGCACTCTAGAATGATGTCGGCAGGGGTTCAGTCATCAGGACGGTGCACGGGATTTTTGAGCTGGTAGTAGTTGCATTTATCAAATGAGATTCTACCCAAAATACGACGTGCATCAGCCGATTCGGATTTGAGGTACGCAAAGGTATCCTAAATCTGAGCATTATCGGAAGTTGTAACATGGTACAACTCAGTGTCAAGGACGACGAGGAATGTGTGGACCATTGCCAGACTCAACTGTGGGAGACGCGATAAGTCAATTAGATGTAGAGATATCAATATGCAAGCACGAACTTGTTTAGATTCGCAACAGGTAAGGAACGATGACTGTGTAGCTGCAGAGCGAGACAAAGGAGATCAAAGGGCAGTTGAACTATATAGGTGTGGCGTGCATAGGACCCTAGTAGCTGAGTCACACAATCTTTGGTAAGCGACCACCCAAAAAAGGAAGCCAAAGATGCGTTTAACTTGTTTGTCTGCGCCCGCATCTTCAAAAGGTCAAATCTGTAGTACTTCGTGACCATGAATTTCTGAGTCTTCTTGTTTGGAAAATTGAGCGGGTATCGAATGAGGGCACAAAACAGATTAGATGAGTGCTATAAAGAGTGTATGTAACTCAGTCTTGTGAGTCGAAGACTACGAGACACTGACTGACTGTGACCTACTCATGAAATTTGAAGCAATGCCATAGCATAGTGATTAAACACATCAAGGCTACAGTGGTAAGAACTTGATAATACACGCAAACTTGATGGCGACCTCACCCAATCCTCCCAAAAACCCTCCCAATCTCCCAATCTCCCTCTCACCAAAGGGGAGTCGCTGAAAACTAGTACTATAAGTCTGATCTTTCTCTGGAAATCGACACGAATATTGTCACGCATATTTCCATCATTTTCCGGAGATATGGCTAGGACCATTTCAAGTTCTCACTAGTTAGGGCCTGGCTGCTCTTTTTTTTTTTAAAAAAATCCAGTTTTTGTCCTATTAAGAGTTGTACACGATGGAGGACAATTCAATCTAGTCTAGGGGACCCCCGGTGTCCCCAACGCATCTCTGGGATCGCGAATGCCCTAGCATGAGGCGTACCCCCGCTAGTCCGCCGTTCCTGCCAGCTGTTTTAGACGCGCATCCCAATGAAGATGAGATGACTGTATGTAGCTGTAACTGAGGTTTGGCTAACGTAAGGATGAACAAAAGTGCGTACTCGGCAGCTTGCTGCGGGCAGGTACAGGAGTCTGGAGTGAATGCAGAGGTAGGTTTGTGTTTAGTTTCCCATGACTTGGCCGATGGGTCAGGTCTACCGTGGGTTGACTTATTCCAGTGGTGGGCTGAGGTGACTCCGTGTAAACGAGTGGGGTATATGGTGCGTGGTGGTACATTGAGATGTGGTATGGTACAGTGCGTTGATGATTCTTGAGGGGGTAAGGCGGGTGGGGGTGCGGTGTTAGCTGCGGTGTGGAAGTTGTTGTTACTATGAGGGCCCCGCTCTATTACAGCACCATGTATGCGTTAACGACTAACCCCCAGGGACGGAATGCCATCGAATTGTTTCGAGTTCCGAAATATGACTCTATGCCTTCTTCTGTGGAGTATAAAACCAACAGCATCAGCAATCAAGTTGCCAACGACCTCTATACAAGTAAGATCAACTCACTATCATGTTTACCCGCTGTAGAGACTCATGCCTCTCCTTGTGCAATATTGCAGTTTTCACCAAGGAGTATGCTGCACGAACTTGTAGTATCACTCTGTATGCTATCCACAGCTATTCCTATACGAGGCGCAGCTTTCCCGCGCAATGCGCAACTTGCGCGCGTACCTTTCCCGTGCTTCACGATGTATATGCGCGCGCGCTTTCCCGCGCTTGAGCGCCCTATAGCGCCAGCCATCCAGAAGCATCCATCCACTGTCCACCAAGTTCCCTAGTGCGTATATTTCCATTTCTCACATTTGCTTATCGTTCCATCTTTATTTTTATCATGGACCCTTACTTACATATACCTTTACATACCTTACTCGGTAGCGCTTCGGCTCCGCATGACAGCACTTAGGCGCCATACTTAAGCACCAGCAGTACATACTATTACGAACTTACTCTCCCACCAGAACGACAGAGGACTTACTGGTTACTACCCACTATTTACCTAGCAGAACATAGTAGAAATCTATTTGTTTACACCTCACATCTCCCTTCTCTTGTCTTACATCATATCATCACCTAAGCAAACTCACTCTTACTCTCTCTTGTTTCCGCATACACGCGCGCGCATTCCCGCGCTTCGCACATTCTCGCGCCTCACGCGCACCTGCGCTTTCCCGCGCTTCGCATTGGCCAACCAGTAGCACTTTCAGCACATACCTCTAGATCCTTGCTGCACTCGCTTCCCCTTTAGGGTCGAATGCACTTGTCATCTCAAGTATAGCAGACTAGGCAACGCACGACCTTACAACAATTATAGATACAGTCAGGAGCATTGTTTGTGCCTCGCTGTATCGTTGAACCTTCACCGCCTTTCTACTGTTTTTATTGTTCTCCTCGGCCTGACTGCCCTTGTCAACGCTGGAGTGCCAGTAGTAAGCCTCGCCTTACCTTAAACCTTGTCATGAAGTTGACATACAATGTCCGCAGGCTGCTCACGAAGCTATTGACCTTGACAAGCGTAACATCATCGGAAGAGATGAGGACTACAAAGTTGTCAGATATGGCAAGAAGAGCTACACCTAGAGTGAGTTCGGCAAAATCATAAACAATTACGGCTGATGCGAGGTGCTACAAAGTTTCGCAGACCAAGTCAGGGATACGACTAGTCAAATGATTTTGAGGACGGTTGGCTTCGTTTACAGGCGTGCAGGATGTTGATGAGGAGCGGGTAGGCCGGGAGATACAGGAAGGAGGCAGATAAGAAATATGGGCGGGTAGCATAGCAGGAATATGCATGACATGATCATAAGGTGGACTTAAGGCAGAGCTTGAATACAAGTTTCCAATGGCAGCTGCACGCTGGCGGGCATGCGGGATGCGCATTACAAGGTGGTCTCATGACCAGTCACCTTACATCGCAGTTATGAGGAGATGTGGTGGGTAATACAGTGTAAGAACACTTTCAAATACGGTGAAGGTACAACAATTCAGATGGTGAGTCTGAACAATGTTGGGTCTTGCAGAACCTAGCTGCTATTCGACCCTAAAGGGTTTCTGGACCAGGCTCAAGGCTCAGAGGAGAGGAAATGTCATCAAAACTTGCTGAAGACTCTGACTCATACTGGTAACTGGTGAAAAGGTAACTTCATTATGTAAGCTACAAAAGTGCAAACATAACACTAAGGTAAAAACAGTCTCTGCAAGCCCAGCCAGAAATGAATCCCTACAACGGTACATAGTTAATATCCTATCTTTCCTATTTTAGTATGTAAATGATTGACGTACCTCTGATACACAGCGCGTCTCTATCATCTTCGTATTGATAACCATGTCACGACCCGAGTCTATCAAATGCAAGGTGACGAATGAAAATCTCGTGTTCCATATCTCTACTTCCAATCAACTTCTGACAAAACGTGTTAGGCACATAGTCTGTCGACTTACTGACACCAAGGTTGCAGCAGAGCGAGCAAAGTTCGCTGTCGAAAGGCAAATGAGAGAGGTAACACATCGTGAAGCTGCAACAACAAAGGCACAAGATGATCGTGTACAGCACCTCGGAAATGCCTTACAAGCTATCGAAGAAGCAGGCTTCCGTGTCAGTGCTTTAGCTGAATCTATATTAGAAGTTGATGAACACGAACGATCAACAACGCTCTACTTATATATCACGACCTTGGGCACTCACAGACACCTGCTCCAGCCTCCTGGAGAGTATTAATAATGATGTCCTGACAGAGGCTGACACACTACACCTCATCCACACACATGACATGGAAACGCTGATTGAAACTTGAAGCTGATTTTGACAAGACAGCAGACTGTCAGCAGTACTTGCGAAATTCTTGGATATAGCAACCTCTGGTGAGACGATGATATAACGACAATGTCCCGCAATGATATCCTAAGCAAAAACGAACCTGGCATCTCCGTGCAGAAACGATGCGGCTGAATTGAGAGGCTGATTGGTAGCGGCTCGACTTATACTTCGAAAGGGCGGAACATTTTGGAAGTTGTCAATGCACAAAAAAGGGAGGAAGTTCTCATTTTGCATATACAGACCTGGCTGAGCTTTGTCATCGAGCGATGTTTAAACTCAGCTGTTTGTCGATGGGCCCTCTGACTCCAGATTCTAGTCCTTTGGTCACAGATAGAACGGCATGG